CCTTAGTTTAATATTTAAATGAGTACAATGGTTTCCACTGGTACATTTAGCCATAGTTTTGCTGTTTTGAAATACTTTGAGTAATTTCTTGATTGATTAGATTTTGTCATCAAGCAGTATTTTCAAGGAGAGCTAATGAGTATTATATTCACTAATCTCTTGTATGCTTGAGAATGTGCTATTGCCTTCATATTTGAAGGATAACTTAGCTAGTGTGAAATTCTTAGACAATACTTTCTCTCCCTCAGAAGGTTATTTATTTATTTATTTATTTATTTATTTAGCTTCAGAAAATAAAGTACCAGATCAGAGAAGATGAGGCATGAGTTCTAATCAAGTTCTTCAGCATTAAAAGAAGTTGCAGAGAAGTTTGGAGACACTTTATTCTTGTGGTTTGCTTCTTCTGCCTAGATGCACTTACTTTTTCCTTTATTTTTGAAATGCAAGTAACGTGATCACAAAATGTGTTGCTGTTGTCCATTCCATACCAATATTACTAGGGTCTTTTTGACCCACAGATTCACAATAAAGTTTCCTACTGGTTTATCTTTAATGAAGATCATGTTCCATTGGTTCCAACCTCTTCTTGAGAAATTCCAATTATTTCATGTTGGATCTCCTTAGGTTCTACATTTATTGGTTTTTCTGTTATCATTTTTAGGTAGTTTCTTTTTTATTTCAGTGTGCATTTTCCATACACTACATTTTTGACTGTGTTTTGAGTTGTGTTTATTATATTTCTTTTGCTTCTATCCAGTTTTTATCTCAATGATTTTTCTTTTTATTTGTTTTTTTGAGCTCTGACCACTTGCTTTTTGCAACTATTTAGGCTGTTTTATAAAGTATTTTGCAAAACTTTATATGAATTTCTAGCTATTTTATTAAGAAAGAATATACTGTCTTAATATTCTTGTGACTATGGAGAAGTTATTTGTATAAATTTACATTTGCTTTTATGGTGGAATTACCTTTGAGTGTGGAGGTGAGAGCACATCTCTCAGTTTTGAGCACTCAATCTGATTCACTCTAAATCTCTGAAAGTTTATAGTTTCACTGTGTTACAATTTGGCAACTATTGTCTCTAGTACTCTTTTCACTCCAAAGTGTCTCCAGTAGTCTCCCTGAGCTAAGAGACTGCTGCAAAACTAAAATGACATGTCCATATGACTCCACATCATTCCTTAGGCTCCACATCTCCTCAGGCTTTATAACGCAAAACAGGTTCTCTGATGGCAAAGTACTCATTTCTTCTAAGGTCCTTTCACCCCTCCTAATCTCTGCTCTCCGTGAAAAAAAAAAAGTGGACTATGCTTTGAATGACCATGACACTTGGGGGAAAATCTTGAGATGCAAAGAGGCATGTGTTAGCTGTCAGCACATTACTTACAAGTCAATAATTCACAGTATTTCACATGTATGCTTCACAGTTTAAGATTTAGAGTTGTAGCCATTTCCATTTTGCGGAACTATGACTTTTTCCCCCTTCTTTTGCTCTCTCTCTTGTTTTGTAGTTTCATATCATTAACCAGAAGTCAAGCTTCTCACAAACGTCAACAAACTATTTTTGTGCGTTTACTAATAAATGTTTATTTGCTGTCATCTCCTCATGCACTCTGCTATCTTATCTTTCCTCCCTTTCTATGAAAGCTGTATGCGTTCAAAGCATAACATTTGGAAAACACAGAGAGGCACAACTAAAAATTGAATAATTATTCCAGTCAAAATTACTACTAACAATGCACACATGCACAATGTAAATGTATATTTACAAAGCATACTATACTTCTGAATATTCTTCTGTAAGTAGGTCTTTTCATGTAGCAATATATAGTGAGCATACTCCCATAACTAAATATTCATCTATACCACGAGTTTTCTACTGTGCTATTTTTAAATTATCACTTCACTCATCTGATTACCCAGCTCAATCAGTTACTTGAGGCCTGTTTTTCATTATTTTTTCCTTCCATTTCGTTGTTCCAAAATTTGATAATTTTTTTTAAGATTCAGAATAAGAAAAGAGAATAGCTGCTTTTTTTTCTGGTCTTTTTATGAGTGGATATAACTGAAAAGACAATAAATAGTTGTATTAAGGAGAGTATGAAAGCCCATTTTGGAACGTGATATGATAATAACATTTAGAAGGAATTTTAAGGTGGCAACCAGATAATATGGCAATGACTCAAATAGAAATGACCACAGCTGAGATACAGAATAGAAGTAGAGGTTAAGTAGAGATGCACCTCAGTTTACAATAGGATTAATCCTGATAAACCCATCATATGTTGAAAATGTCTTAAGTAAAAAATTCCGTGAATACACTTAACCTACTGAACATTATAGCTTCTAGCCTACCTTAAACATCCTCAGAACACTCACATGAGCCTACAGTTGGGCAAAATCACCTAACACAAATACTGTTTTACAATGAAGTGTTGAACATCTCATGTAATTTGCTGAATACAGTACTGAAAGTGAAAAGCAGGATGCTATATAGGTTCTGGCAATAGTTTCTACTGAATGTATATAGTTTTTGCACCATAATAACATTGAAAACTCATGACTGCCATAGTAATTTGGTACCATTTGTATGTTTGTTAATAAATTAATAGTCACCATGAGACAAAAAAGATTTGTGACACAAGTGTATCAAGTGATATAAAAATATTACTGCTAACAAGGCAGACAATGACACATTGTACAAGGTATTAAAAATCTCAAGGTGGTTGCTCAAGCAAAACTCAATCCCATCTCAGGGCTTCTGTGTTGCTACTATTGTCTGAGGTACTAGGCACACACCTTCTCAGCTTTCAGGTCTTAGTTTAAACATCTTCTGAGAGATGTCTCTCCTGCCTAGTTAAGCTAATGTAACCACCTCCAATGACTCTCAAACACATTGCTTTCTTTTCTTCATAGCATCTAACACTATGCAGAATCAGTTTGCTGATAAAGTGCCACAGGGAAAAAGAATGTAAGCTGTAAGAGCAGGTGCTTTGTCTGGGTTACCACTGTAAATCCAGTGGCTAGCACAAAAAATGCTTGATACACAATTGTTTAACAAAAAAAGGAATTAACAAATAAGAGTGGGCACGGCAGCTCATGCCTGTAATCCTAGCATTTTGGGAGGCCAGCCTGAGAGGATCACTTGAGTTCAGGAGTTTGAGACCAACCTGAGCAACTAGCAAGACCACATGTCTACTAAAAAAAAAAAAAATGTAACTGCAGACAATTAGCACTCCCAAGTAACAAACGAAGGTGGAGAAGTAGAAGAAAGCCAGAAAGCAAATGCTCTGAATAGCAAGTTAAGATTAGGTCTGGTTTTTAAAGCACCAAGAAGTCACTGAAGGTTCCTTGGGTCAAGGAAACAACATTATCAGATATGCAGTTTAGAAAAACATGATTTAATGCTGTTCAGGAAGGCATTGAAAGGGAAGGAGATGGCTGGGTTCGGTGGCTCAGCCTGTAATTCCAGCACTTTGGGAGGCTGAGGCGAGTGGATTGCCTGAGCCCGCGGGTTTGAGGCCAACCTAGGCAACTTGGCGAGACCTCATCTCTACAATAAATCAAAAACTATCTGGGCATGGTAGCGCACGCCTGTAGTTACGGCTACTTGGAAGGCTGAGGTGGAAAGATCACTGGAGCCCAGCAGGTCAAGGCTGCGGTGGCCGGGAGCATGCCACTGCACTCCAGTCTGGGCGACAGAGTAAGACTCCAACTCAAAAAAAAAAGAAAAGAAAAGAAAGGGAAGGAGACTATTATAATAAATTCAACATGGAAGGTGTGAAAAAATCTCAAAAACCACCCATTTCAATAGTCCAGGTCAAAGACGACAGAACCTCAGCTGAGAGCAGAGAGGAGAAAATATGTAGAAAAAGGTTCAAGGTGATTGATGGCCAGGAAAATGTGCGTACACAGAAAATAAAGAGGAATCAAAGATCAAAAGAAATACATAAAGCCATTTCTGACAAGTGTTTATCAGGTCCTAATGAATGCCATGCATGTAGCAAGAAGATAAGCACATTAGAAAATTACTTTATAAGTCCAGTCAATGTTCTTTCCTTGAAGTTACCATGGGTGCAACTTGTATTCCCTAGTGTCTGAAATACTTAAGACTAAGGTGTCAGTAACCAAAGTCAAAAGGAGCTATAGAGGCGCTAGTACATGTGTACGAGGTATGTGGTTAAAGATATATGAAGTGCACGTACACACACACATACTCTGTTGGCTGTGTTTTTCTGGAGAACCCTGACAAATACAACAACTTTAACCCATTTGGGGTCTTCTCTTTTTGGAGATACACACACACATACACACACACACACACACACACACACACACACACACACACACACACGCATATGCATATGCATATGCATACACACATACACATACACAATGACTTTATTATATAGACATTTTAAATATAATAGAGTTATTACATATGTAATAATTATATATAATATATATAGTCTCTATTAATATTGCTATTATTCTTAAATTGCACATGTAAATCTTTTCTTCTTAATTAAATAATAATTTGCTTAAAAAACAAGATCATAGCTTAAAGTTTTTTGTCTATTTCCCTCATCAGTTCACAGTTCTTGCTAGGTGTTCAAAATATGTTTGCTGAATTAGTGAGAAATAAGAACAATATTATGAGAATGCCACCTGGTATTACCCAGGACTCTAGTTAGAGAGATAGGTAATCTTTCCCTAGGCAGCAGGGAATAATTGTGTTGACTGAATTAAGGTTTCCATATGGGAAATTGATTACTGGGTATTGTAAATCCTCCCAATATGTCTAGCTCAGCCCTCCATCTAATCCAAGGTAATCATTTTGGCTTTATAATTTGGTATCCCTGTGATGACTTGCATGATAACACACTTTATTTTTTTCATCATTTGTGCACAGCAGTTCTCAGTGATAACACTATTCTGTGACCACCCTAGTGTTTCTCCTAACACTCATACAAAATGTTTCTATCTCCAGGACCACTTACATTATGCTTTCTGGTTCTACTGCACAAGCACCAACTGCTTTCGTGACATTTACGAGAAGAGCTTGATTTATTCCAACAAGGAGGTTCACAAGTGGTTGAATACCACCACATTTCCGGATAATGACTCGGTTTTCATATTCCTGGCAGCATTCTCCCAAGGCCCCAACCACATTCACAAGCACTTCTTCAGGCTGGTCAGTTAAAAGTCCCACCAAGGTTTCAATGGCTTTGTATTCCCGAAACCTAAGTTCATCACAAGAAAGAGAGAGAGGATTGTTTTTAGTATGTTAGCAATGGTAATAATGATAACAATAGCTAAAAAATACTAAATGCCAACTACATGCTCATTCAATCCTAACAGCAATCCTATGATGCTTAAACTGTTGAATCCCCACTAGCTGATGACTCATCTGAAGCTTGGTCAGTAGTAGAACTGTCATTCACAACAAGCCATCTGCTCTAGACTTGTGTCCTCAATCACTACGCAGTACAGCCTCTAAGACAACCATGGCTTCTTCCAAAACAGATCATCTATGATTCCACTCTGCTAAGGGGGTTTTCCCCATTTCACAGAGACTATTTTACTAGAACAAAGTATTTTAAATGTCTAATGAAAATGAATTATAATTATTTTTGTCTTTAAATACATCAAACATGACTTTACTGTACCTACTGGAGTTTAATAAGTCTCTCAAAATAAGTAGTAGTCTGTGCTACTCAGATTAAAAAAATCTGTCACCCTCAACTATCTTCAGTATTAACCATTAATACATTTTAGCATCTCTTTGTCATGACTTTTCATATATAAATATAAAATCAAAATATATATATCCAAATATATATAAATATATATAACCAGAAAAAGCATGATATATAAAGGTAAACATTTGAGTTACTAGTTTCTACATAGAACATATTTTTTTTCCCTTTCTAATAAATTTCAACAGTATTTTCAAGTACCATGATGTGGCTGAATTTTTAAGGTTAAGTAACTCTTAATTAAGATAAAATTTAATTAGGTAAGGTTACTTTAAATCTAGTCATTACTTGATTACACATTCTATATTAAGTAAACATATTTTATATTAACTAGTTGGGACATGTGAATTTCTTGTTAAAGGAAATCATCAGATGGAGACAAGGAGCAGTTGCCTCAGAATACCCATCTCTGAGAATGTAAACTCTAAAAATGCATAAAGAGATAGATTTGAAAATTTAAATAAAATCATCATAAAGTTTACAAATACTTTAAAATAAAATTCAATGAAATCATATTTGAAAATGACTGCTCTTTAAGAGTAACTGGTGAGTTCATATACAGCTGAATAATCTTGTTTATCTTTAGACAAGGAAAAAGAAAGCATCATTTCCATCTCTCAAGATTCAGTGGGAAGTTCACCCATTCACCTTAATAGGTGTCCACAGGAAATTTCAGTTAATTTAAATAGCTGCCCATATGCAAAAGGGAAAGATTATACCAGCAAATCTCTTAGTTCCACTGAGGCACAGAAAGTCATTGCCAGGTGGTAGAGTGGGTATAGGGGCCTTTCATTTCTAAGAATCCCTCCTTTCTACCAACTTAATCCAAAATGTACGTCTATGACTAATATTAGATTCAATTCTCTATTAGAATAGTACTAAATTACATGTACGTTTCTTTCAGTGGCCATATTTTTATTACAGAATATTGAGTGGCTTCTCTTACTTGGTCACATTCTCTTTGCTGATGGAACATTTCCATATTGCGCCTGTGACAGCAGCTAACCGTTCTTTATTGTCAGTGTTATTGAGCAGACGGGCCAGGGGTTTAAGTCCTCCATGCAGCCTAACCAGGTCCCGGGTTTCCTTATCTTCAGCACACTACACAAAAAATCAGACCAGAAGCTGTCAGTGATCGAGGCATATCAAACTTTCAGTGACTGCTGAAGTGACTGCCATTCTAGTAGTATGAAACTTCTTTTTAGAGTGTATTTCATTTTCTGAAGATACGTCCCAGTAAAATATAATTCTTCTCTACATTGGTAGCTATATGAGAGTACGTCTCTCTTCTTACATGGTTTAGGGAATGTATAGCAGTTTCTACATGCTTGGCAATTCTCCTGAGCCAGTTCTGAGGTAGCCTGGGCTTCTACTAAGACAGAGGTCAGTAAAAAGCCTGAAATGCTGAATGCATGGACAGAGGGTTTCTGCAGTGATACAACCCAGATTCTTGAGAACATGCAGGAAGAAGACAGAGGAGTGGCGGAGATTTGGTGAGATTTTCGGTGACCCTTGAAATCTAGAGATGAAGAATTTCCCCAATAGAGTTTCTATGTCCAGAGTAGTGGGGAATATCAATAGTACCTGGTACTTTATTCAAACATGTTTATCCATGTGTGTGTCATCCTTTGAAATAAATATTTACTGCACAGATATTACCAATTGATCATTCTTCCCAAGTTATAGGGCCCAGAGATGATAAATGTAGTACAGAGTTGGCTATTATCTCAAGGTTGTTTTCCGATGCCATGCGGTGGAGATGTGTGCCATGCATCATCCATGAAGATCACTAAAAGAAATCCCCATCCTAATGCACCAGAGAGGCATCTGCCATGTTTATCTTCTGCAGTGTTTTCAATTCTGGTTCAGCGACAACTTTTAAAAATTAATCCCTATTTCTAACCAACTCAATGGTTACTTATATAAGGCATACATTATATACAAGTCAATGATGATCTGAATCATGTCCCCTCATAATTCACATGCTGATGTCCTAACTCCCAGGACCTCAGAATGTGACTCTATTTGGAGACAGGGTCTTTAAGGAGGTAAATAAGGCTAAATGAGGCCATTGGGATGAGCCCTAACCTAATAGAGCTGCCGTCTTTATAAAAAGAGGAGATTAGGACACTGGCGTACACAAAGGAAAGACCAGGTGAGGACACAAGGGGAAAGATGGCCATCTACAAGCCAGAGAGAGACCTATGAAGAATCTAGTCTTGATCTTGAACTTTTAGCCCCCAGGACTGTGAGGAAATAAATTTCTGTGGCTTAAGTCACCCAGTCTGTGGTACTTTGTTATGCCACCCTAGAAGACTGATCCAATCCTTTACAAAAACAAGTCCCTCCTCTGACTATCTTTTCCATGCGCTCTCTCACTCTGCACATGGTAAGTGCATTACACTAGGAAATCTACTCTGTTTAAGGAAAAACTGGCATGGTCAGTAACCAGCCATACACTAATATGTTGGGGACATTTTTCTCTCTTTACCATTTGAATTCGTTTTCTGATATACAAGTGGGACTTGTTAAAAATGCAGACTCCGGAGTCCCATCCCCAGAGGACGAGACCCCATGCTTTGAAAACTGTCTTATGCTGCCAACTTTCGATGAGCAGCAGGTTTGCTCCATGTTTTTGCTATTGTAAGTAGTGTGGCGATAAACATGCATGTGCAGGTGTCTTTTTGATAGAGAAATTTATGTTATCCTGGGCATATTCCCAGGAAAGTGATTGCTGGATTGTATGGAAGATCAATTTTTAGTTCTTTTAGAAATCGCCACAGCAACTTGGATGGTGTTGGAGACCATCACACTAAGTGAACCATCACAGAAACAATGATCTCAGAATACTACATGTTCTCACCTGTAAGTGGCCCCGAACACAAGTATCACATTACCACAAGGGCAGAATTGGCAGTCACGGGCACTGCTACGGGACAGAGGCAGGGAGGAATATGGGGGGCACATGACAACACAAAAGGTGCCTGGGCCACTACCAGGGGGAGTGAGGGTCAGTTAGAAGCCCAAATTTTGTCTGCATGCAGCCTACTTATGTAGTTGATCCTCACTTGTACCCTCCAACTCTATAATAGATAAATAAATTACACATAAAAATTTTTATAAATTAAAAAGAGAACTGTATTAAACTATGGGAAGGGCCATCCCACTGCTGGGAGAGCTCACCGCACCTGGTAAATGGCCATGGCACAGTGCTCCTGCAGTTCCTCATTCTCACTGTTTAGGTTTTTTACCAGATTTTCAATGATCCTTTCTGCTTTGATTGCAGCTCGGTAGTTTTCCTAGGAATAAAATCCTAAATATTTATGTGCGGTTAATGCACGAATATAAGCATCTATTTATATTTATTAATAATTATACTGAGCAAACTTTCTTAGTAAATAAACACTAAAGTCCAAGCTTAGCACATCTATGCACCAATAAGAGAATTAGTCAATATTTTTAAAAATATATCACACAGTTACTGATTTAATGTCCCATTTGTTTGAGCTTCTTTTTGTAACAGAATGCTGACTTCTTGAAAAAAACTTGTCCTTGACTGGTCATGATAACCTCAAAAATATAATTTTTTGACTAAAAACATCACAGTAAGACTGCAAGGGCAGCAGCACTGGTGTGGGTACCTCTGACGCACACTCCTGCAGCGTCCCCACCACTGGAATGAGCATGTTCTCGTGAGAAGTCTTCAGCAACCGGGCCAGCAATGGAATGCCCCCAGCTTTGCGAATGGCTTCCTTGTTGGCGTAACTCTTGCTGCAACTCCACAGTGCCTGCGCCCCACAGCGAGCCACTTCCACGTCTCTGGCCTCGTATAGGCTCAGCTGAGCAGGCTCTGTGGAATTCTGCGCACAGTCCAGGAGAGCCACCTAGGGAACAGATAAGTGTGATGTACATGGAAACCTTTAGAAGTAAAACTGAGTGTGTCCATCAATAGCAACAGGGTTGCTATCAAGCTCCCCTCCACCAAAAACAAGAATGCAGTAAAAAACCAGCTTTCATACTACATGGCAGCCAGTGAAAACAAAGAAACAAACAAAACCCTTCAAAACACCTACCTCCAGATTCGGACGTTTTTACATTTCCTTCCCCCAAGAAATTTAATCCCAACATGATAGTATTTTCTTAATATGGCTCTAATATTCACATTAATAATTTTGTAAAACACATCTCCAGGCCTGTATCTCAGAAAACTAGCCTCCCTAAAACCATTAGCAATTTCTAATGAGTCCTGATGGCCTTTAGACTCATAAAGCCAGGAGACCCCTTTGGAAGACGTGGCCCTCTGCATGTACTACCCAATCAAACCAAATGGCAAAGCTGCCAGCATTTGATTTTTTTTTTTTTTTGGCAATAACTAAAGTCACTAAAGGCCTTAGGGAAAGGTAATTTACTATCAATAGTACATCAGGTTGCACCCTGAAGGAAGTGAAGCCAGGCCTTCCCAGGGCTAGACTGAAACCACAGGAGGAATCTGTCTGCCATTCTCGCAGGCTCACTCTCTTCCTTATCCAGGGGCTTCAAAGCCATCATCTATGCATGTCTACTTCATTCTTCTCTCTCTGATCCTGCCCACACAATCATAAGCACTCAAGCTTAGAAGGGAAAAGCCTAGACTAAGGAGAGTCTCTCAAACCCAATTCAAAATTCTGGAGAGAGAGAGAAATCCAATGAGACTAGCTTGAGTCAGGTGAACCCCCATGGTCTAATTAGTCGTGACCCCAGGAAAGACAGGACAAGGAGTATTTACATGACTTCCGGGCACTGACGGCAGGTGGGAGAGCCATGGGGAAAAATTCTAAGACAACGGGATTGAACACAGGGCAGACAGCCTCAAAGTATCTGTCTTCTATGGTTCTTTCTTCATTGTCTACATAGAGTCCAAACCCTTTAACTCATAGGACAAGACACTGTGTTGAGTGCCACGGTCTCTCATCCTCATATCACTGCTCGGCCATCTCACTCAAGGTCTGACCACGTGAAACCACTTGTGCTTCTACAGGCTCAATGCTGTTTCCAGCTCTGGGTCTTAACCAATACAGCTCCATCCTCCTGAAATGCCTTTCCTTGGGTCGGGGTGGGGGGAGGTCTGCCAGACAATACTCAGCACCTTCCAAAACTTAGCAAGCAACCCCCCCTCTCTCCAGGCTTTCTTGACCCTCCTCCTCCAGGTGAAATTGGATGGCCCTGCCTCCTTGATTCCTCTATTCTTCCCAGTACTGACTTCAGGTAAATACCCACAACTCACTCACTATACCTTCAGTTCCATCCATATCCTCCCTGCCCCCACACTCCCCACCACCTCTAGATTCTGCATTACTGTGGTCAGGGACAGACATACATTTCTATTCCTGCCACCTTCTTCTGTACCTGACACACAGTGCCACTCAGGAGATGTCTGAAGTGTTTTACAGTAAAAGGACAAGAAGGCTACATAACACATACACAGATAATGTGTCCACAGGCCCTAGTGCTGATGCAATGGTGTGAGTACATCTCACCTAGATCTTACAGCACCTCCCTGCCTGGTTGCATTCTCCCTGTTTGCTCTCTAGGAACCAACCTCTAGGGACCCTCTAGGGACTGACCTCTCTCTAGGTACCCACCTCTGTCTAGGCTCCCAAACCCACTCTGGCCAATGTTCTCTGGCCTGCTCTGCCTGACCTCAGTGCCCTTGCTCTGATGCTATAACCAGCCACGAGTCCACCTCCATATTGAGTCATCTCCCTCAATCCCAATTTTAATTGAGGATTCCTGTCCATATGTCACCTACCTCCCCAAACCCAGGTCTAGTGAAATAAAACTTTATTCCCAGTCCTAATCCTTCTCAGGTGTTCTGAATCCAGCAATTACAAGTCTATCATTGGTTTATTCATTATTGGTCTTTCCTGTTCCTAATTTAGCTATCATTTAAAATTATATTAAAACATTTGTCATGATCTTGATTAGGTAGGTGCAAATGCCAAATACAGCAAGTCCCCCAATAAAGTTATTTTGTTCAATGCTGTTTCATTGTAACATTGATGAGGGAAAAAAAATCGATTCCCAAACAGGACCACTGTCTGTGTGGCATTTGCATGTTCTCTTCATGTCTATGTGGGTTTCTTTTGGGTACTCCAGTTCCCTCCCACAGCCCAAAGCTGTGCATGTGAGGGTGGTTGACATGTGTGTCATGATCCCAGTTTGAGTATGTATGATTGACCCCTGATGGGATGGTGACCTAGCTTCCCACCCTGGGCCCTGAGTTGCCAGGAGAGGCTCAGGCCATTCATGAACCTGAACTAGAATAAGCAGGCTGGAGGGTAAATGAATACAAATAATTGTAAAACAAAAATTCATAAAGAATAGGATAACCACACCACTGCATGACCATGGGTGATGTGGCAGGAAGTAGTCCATGAGCCAAAGTGTCTGACTGGCTGTGCTGAAACCGTGTGGTGGCAGGAGGTGCTCCTCACAATTTTCCCTTTGCAAACACATATTCCCTGATTTAACCCACTACCAATTCAATCACTGTCACTTACTGATTTACCAAAAATTGGATTATCTTACTTGTTTTGATGAATCTTTCTTAAATGTATGTATAGGTCACTTTTACTTCAGTGTTTAATACTAGACGTGCTTGGGCCTTTATTTAGAAGTTTAGTGATGCTTTTGTGCTATGGGAATGTAACTCTTATTCCTATCAATTAGCCTAGGGTAAGATTGGTCTTCTTATACAGCGTTTTGCTTAAAACTGGTTTCCGAGAACTTTTCATCAACATTAAGTGAGGGCTTACGATCCTAGGTTCCTGAAGGGGATGCAGACGACTCACAGAACAACATATTTTAGTTTTATGTTACATAAGTCATTCTTTCTAATTCAATGGGAGTAGTTCCGGTGGGCAGCTGCATCAACCTACCAAATGATTTCTTCAATCAGAATAAAATAATCATAGTAATAATTAGATTTCCCTTAACATTTTATTATGAACATTTTCAAACACAGAAAAGCCAGCATCTATGTATCCACTGCCTAGATTCCATGATTAACATTCTGTCACATTTGTTTCATCATACATCTAACCATCTATTCGTCCATCTCTCTAGCTGTAAGTTCATCATATTTTGAAGCAAGTAATTACATGTCATAGTGCTCTATAGATAAGTGAAAACACAGAATCTCTGTCAGTAAATTTCTGAACATATTTGTCAGGGTACATGTTCACATTAAGGTCCATATTAATCCAATAGGCAGTGATTAACCCTTTATATGCAGAAGGTACTTGGCTAAGTGCTGTGGAAGTTACTGAGATGAATAAGACCTGTCCCTAGTGTGAGAAACTTCAAAGGTACAGAAGTGGAGACAATCTACTAATCCTTACTAAGAAGGATAAACACACATTGCTACATCACACTGACTTTTTTAAGGTCTTTCCTGACATGGCAAAGGTATTGAGCAGAATTCTGATTTTCTTCTTTTGGTGATAGTTATTGGGAAAAAAATATTTTTTATCATAAAAGTAAGACACACACAGAAGACAAATTGGAAAATGTAGATAAATAGGAAGAAAACTCAGTAATCCTTTCAGAGAAAATTCCTGAGAGCAATTTTGTGTGTTTATTTCTAGTGGGTTTTTTCTACACCGTTAGGTAGGTCTTTAAAAATTGGGGTTGTAGAGATCAACAGGTTTTTTTTTTTAAGTTTTAAAGTTTTCTACTCTCCACTGAGACAGTCTCACCATCTCTTGTACATACACACAAAGGTAGGCTTACCAATTGTACAGGTGGTGACAATTACATCTACTTTCAAATTTTTTATATTTCTTTGAAAAATGAGTTTGAACATTTGAAATAGGTTTGGCCACTCACAAATGTAAATACACAAAAGTATTTTTTTTTTTTTTTTTTTTAGAAACAAGGTCTCGGTCTGTCACCCAGGCTGGAGCACAGTGGTGTGAATTCACTGTAGCCTTGATCTCCTGGCCTCAAGTGATCCTCCTACCTCAGCCTCAGGAACTACAGTCATGAGCCACCACCCTGGCCACAAAGGTAAGACTTAAGGTAATGTGATACACAAAAAAGACTCCAAGAACATGCCCTGTGGTAACTGAATGTCCTGCATGGCCAGAACGGACAGCAAGGGAGGTGCACAGTGATGGCGCTGGCTGCCACTGAGGATGTTAGGGATACTCACCAGTTTGGTGATGCCCCCGTGTTGCCTCACCACTCGCTGTGCTCTTTTAAACTTGGCAACATTCGCAATAGTCTCAGCTGCCAAGCATTTCAGGCTCTTGTGTGGAGAATCAAGTATATTCACCATAATTGGTAAGCCCCCAAGGTCAACAATATTACGTCTGATTTGGGGATTTTGACTGATTTCCTTCAGGATTTTTAATGAACCAATCTGCATGAGAGATAAAGTTATAGATGAATGAGTGCTGAATATATATAACCAGAGCTGTGTTTTTAAAAATTCCCAGTCTACCTAAAATCCTTTCCCAATTAAGATTTTTAAGAAATAGTTTCCACCCCAGTGTTTACACACAGCCTCCAAACTTTCCTTCATTTAGGTAAACAAACAGTCATCATTCAAGAAGCATGAGAGACAAAAGGAAAGGAGTAAGAGACAGAAAAAAGGCAGAGAGAAGGGAAAGTGCAGCTCACGGAAGGAGCAGGTGGACTGTCAGCAATTATAGCAGATAAAGACAAGAAACAGACAGCAAGGAGTGGCAGACACTAGAGTGAGGAGAGAACCACGAGAAGGTAGGAACAAGGTCCCTCACCCCTGTGACCAAGCCACTCACCTTGCATTTGACTTCATCTGTATCAAGCAAATTTATTAGCACTTCCAGGCCTCCAACGTCTCTGATCGCCAACTGGCACGTCTCTTGAGCTAAATTGAAATCTCTCATGGAACACAGTGCAATCACGGTAGCTGTCTGATTTCCTCCCTATAGAGACACAATGCCAGAGAAAGGTTAAATAAAACCATGTTTCCACAGAAATGTTCTAAATGGTTATGAATCCAGGAACTGGAAAATGTGTCTCTGAGTGGGCTATAATTTGCTGAAGAATCGTGGAAAGCTCAAGCATGGACAAGCTGTGCAGAGCATCAAAAAACGTTGCTCCAATTAAGAGTCAACATTTAAAGATGGTCTTTCTTCTTTTTTTTTAATTTTTAATTTTAAAATTGTGGGGTACAGTTAAGGGTTAGGTTTATAAACATGTATCATTCGGGCACCCTTGTTGATAAGGGGTGTCTCCCCGTCCCCAGACAAAGGTCTTTCTTCTTAAACAGCTACATCGGGTGGTATTAGTAGATTGAAGAGGCAAAGGTTAAGCCTTGAGAGATTGATTGAGGAAAGGAAGTTGTACAAGGAGGTAAGACAAGCCCCCCAGTTTTTTAATAGTGTACTATGGAATGCAAACTGTGTCTGAAAATTATCCTTACAGAATGAGACCTAGAGTAGGTGGAATGAAGGTTGTGGGGTTGGAAAAGAGGAGGCAATTCCAGTAGAACCTAGAAATGGACTGGATGGGCAGGATGAAGGAGAGTTTTGCTGTAGTGAGTGAAATGCTGACCTAATGAGAGAATCGTGCGAGACAATGTAGAACCATCATTTGACCCAGATATCTCACTTCTAGATATCTACCCAAAGGAAAAGAAATTGTAGCAAAAAGACGCCTGCACTCATATGTTCATTGCAGCACTATTTTCACAATAGCAAAGTCATGGAATCAAGCTAAGTGCCCATCAATGGATGGTTGGAGAAAGATAATACACATAATGGAAGGCTATTCAGTCATAAAAAATAATGAAATCATGTGTTTAGAAGCAACATGGATAGAATTGGAGGCCATTATCCTCAGTGAAATAATTCAGAAACAGAAAGTCAAATACGGCATGTTCTCACTTAAAAGTGGGAGCTAAATAACATGTATACCTGGATATAGACTGTGGAATAATAGACTTGGAGACTCAGAAAAGTGGGGAAAGGGATAGGAGGGATAAGAAGTACTTAATGGATACAATGAACACTATTCGGGTGACAGCTATGCTAAATTCCCTGACTACTACTACTCAGTTTAGCCATGTAACAAAAAGGTACTTGTACCTGCTAAATCTACACCAAAAAATAAATAGATAAATAAAAATTAAAAACATTAAAAAACAAAGAGCAAATCACCACCTGTAAAGAGTAGTGGTGAGCTGTTCCTTTAAGATTTAAAAGAAAAAAAAAAAAACCCTTTTTTTTATTGAATTGATCAGTAAACCAAAACTTCCAGGCCATTTAAATAAATATTCATGTCAGAATTTTTTTTTTTTTTTTTTTTTGAGTTGGAGACTCACTCTGTCACCCAGGCTGGAGTGCAAAGGCATGCTCATGGCCACCTCAGCCTCAAACTGCTGGGCTCAGGTGATTTTTTTCGCCTCAGTCTTCCAAGTAGTTGGAACCACAGGCATGTGCCACCATGTCTGGCTCATTTTTTTATTTATTGCAGAGACGAGGTCTTGCCATGTTACTGGGCTGAACTTGAACCCCTGCGCTCATGTAATCCTCTCACTTCTGCCTTTCAAAGTGCTGGAATTACAGACACGAGCCACTGCACTTGGCTACTTCAAGAATTCTTAAGCAATGTTTACTGGTCATAACTGCTTTGAAAATCTGAAGAATATCGCATATTACACATGACAGCTATTGTTAGGGCTACTGGTGGGTAAATAAGAGTCCCAGCACACACTGGAGTAGTTCCTCACACACCAAAGCGATGCTACTGCTGGTTTTTGTAAAAGGCACTCATGCTAGACAGCCTTTAATTCCTGCCTCAAAATACAGTACCAATGGACCCAAATCTTGTACCCCCAAATATTTTTTACTAGAAGACATTCAAATTATTTTTATTTGGTAATCATTATTTTATAATGCTATTATGTATTTGTATATATATAAAATTATACATGTAAATAGATAATATATACATAAAATAGATGATATACACAGTATCATATATCTATGTATATAAGTACATACAAATATTTTTATATTGCTTGAATATAGACATTTTTAAATGTACTATAGCAATATAAATATAAATATAGAAAATGTGCATTTATAGATCAAAATAGATGATATGTATAATAGGCCTAGCACAGAATGGAAATTCCATACAAAACCATTCAACCCCCTCCTCCTTCATGTCACACATGTGCACATATACAAATCCTCTTGTGATTCAGCACAAGACTTAAAATAGGAAACTGAAATGAAATTACTAGAGGACCCCAAGTAAAGACAGAAAGGTATAGATGTCAGCCTTTCCTCTGACTCCTTTCGAGAGCATTCCTTTCACATCTCTAGGAATGTTATGAACAACTATCCTGTGGAGAAGTCACTGTCAACTTTCACTCTTCATAGGAATGCTTCCAGTGACAGGTCTGGTTGTCCTCTACATCCAAGATGACATTTAGAATGACAAGAGTCTTACTTCTATTATTTACAATTAAATAATAAGTTGAGAAGAAATAGCACCAGGGAATAGCTTTTAGTGTTCTTTTAGTGTCCCTGTAGCTTTTAGTGTTTTTTTAGAGTCCCTGTAGCTTTTTATGTTCTTTTATCCTTCCTATCAAGAGAAATCTTACTACCACCAATTTGCTTACATTGGTTTAAAATATAAAATAATAAATCCTCCCTTTATTATTGTCAGGTTCATAAATTCCCTTACTTGGGGGCACACAACTCTCATATGCTAGCACTTCTGGTCCCTCTTTTAGAAAAACAAAAGACAGATACTTTAAAAGCCATAAAGAAGAATCTGCATGCTAACCATGATTAATTAAAGGAAATCAAATAATGCACAAAAAGAAAAAGCAAGGAAAATAATAACCCAATTCATTTGAACAAGTATCTTTTTCGAATTTGTATGGTTAAAAGGAACACCAGTAACTCCCCTGGTGGGGGTGGGAATCTTGAAGATCAGAGCTTGGTTCCTGTGTTGAATTAGAAAACCCAAAGCAAGAGCTTCCAGTAGAGAGTGCTTTAGGCAGAGTCTTCAGACTTCAGACTTTCCTGACTAGAAAGCATAGGAAAACATGGAATGGGGTGTCAGGCCTCAGTTAAGCCAAGAGCCTCTCCTACTCCAGCTCCACCTCCCTGAGGAAGAATGTACCATCCTGTGCATGATCAAGGACCTTCTTCACACCTATTCTTACATCATAATATTTTCTTTGGTAGCAATTTTCAGCTTATATACTCAGTGCAACCTTTGTTTCCTGTTTCAAGTTGTTTGAATTTTTCTCTGCTAGGCTATTTCCATCTTTTGGGCTTCATTTCATTATTCACACTATAACCAATGACATACATTTTAAAAGATCATTTAATTGCAGCAGATTCCCCAAAGGTAAGAGTTCATATTTTTCTGAATTATCTCTAGGCCAATTTGGAAGTCAAAGGGCTGACAATTTAGTTATCATTAAGAAGCTAGATTCTTATGGAAAAAAAAATTCTGTAAATCATCAGGTTTTTTTTTCTGAAAATCTGGAAACATATTCATAGGCATGAGGGATTTTTTTAGAACAGTTTTATATTAGGGAAAGTTAGTTTTTCCACATTTCAGGATTTAGTTCTACTCTTGTCACTGACCACACTCCCAAAAGGATTATAAATCTTTCAGAATGAATACCAGAGGACGAAAGCCAAAATACCCAATATACGGAGCCATAAACGTTAGCCAATTGCTATTCTTTAAATACCAGCTATGTCAAAGGGTTTTCGAATATTCATTCTACTTTGTCCGGATACCATAAACATCAAACTGGGGAGGAATAGTGCAAATATGCTCCTTTTTCAATTAAACTTCCCCTGAGAAGCTAATTATTGCCAATGCTTATTTTCACATTTTATCACGCATTTGCATTTGTGAAGTTTTAAGAGCTGGAGAAAATACAGCAAAATATTCTTTTACTAGCTTTTGAAGGGTTTTGAAAAATGCTTCCAGTAAACTTTTCCACTTCTTAAATTAATGCAATTCTTTTGCTAGTTGTCTCCCTGCTCCTGTTTCTTCTCAAACATCTCCAGGCTCTGTTGGCCTTTGGATTTTTTGCAGTCCACACTCTTTTTGATGACCAGGAGGCATTTGTTCATTGTCACCATCAGGTTTCAAACAGGAAGAGATTGAATGAATGTCGCTTTCTCTCAGTTTTCTTAAAATTTCTTTTTGAAAGACAAGATGAATTGAGAGTATTTTTCTAAATCATGGTTTTTATTACTTTAAATAAAATCTTTGAAATAAGGAAGAATTACCCTATCTGTTATACAGAGTAGTGCCCTTCCCTTAATATCGACAAGGAAGAAATAAACATTTATGGAGTTGAAACGAGCAGTGTATTCAAGAGTAAAACAGTAGCCAAGCTGCCTCAAATCACTTTTGTATTACTTCATCCAACAAACTTGTTGCATGCTTACTGTTTGCCAAGCCAGATGACAGGTACCAGAGACATACTGGTATACAAAGGCAGACAAAGTCCTCACCATCATGAAGAAAAATTTTAACTTCCCCATGGAGGAGAAGAGCTAAAAGTGAAGCCCACCAGTCAGAGCGCACAGTGTATGCAAAATCCCTCCAGTGGAGTGGAGCGGGACATTTAAGACCTAAATAAGGCCATAGTGACCAAAGCCCAGAGTGGGAGAGAAGTACAAGATGAGCTGAAAAAGTAGGCTGCTGGGCCCAGAGGCCAGTTCAAGAATGTTCGTTGTTATTTCAAGATTGACTAAGATGCTGATGACATTTTTAAAAGACCTATCTGGCTGCTGAGGTCCCCGGCTGGAGATGGCAAGTATGGACACATGAAGACCACTCGGGTTACTGCAGAGATCTGAGAAAAGAGGGTAACTTGGAGTAAGAGGGTGAGGTGACTCATCATACCCCATAAAGGGACTTTGAAAAGAAAGGT